AGCACCTTTGCTTTACCTACGGATTACACCCCTAGAAGTTCATTTGATTCAATGAAACATAAATTCTGGCTCTATTCACAAAATTTTTGTTTTGAAATTGAAGTGATTTATTTGTTGATGTTAATGTAAGGCTTGAAAGGATGACTGATAGAAACGTGACTTAATCCTTACTTATGAAGCGATATTGCAAACAACTCAGTATATAATTAGTACAAAAAAATTAATCTGTGAGAAAACAAATGCCTGCCATGAAAAAGTATTCCCGTTTTACAAATACAGTGTTTCACGTTGCTATATATACAAATTGCAAGTTATATATGGCTATTTGCTGGTGGAATGCAACTAATAGACTATAGAATGGCATGATATTGTATGAGATTACAGAAGGAAAAAGAACAAAACTAAAGTTTACAGGATGGGAAAGCTTTTTCTAATTAAGACTAGTTTTCACCACTTTTTTTTTTTTTTTCTGTCTGCTATGAAACAAATACAAACATTTGCAACAGTGTACTGTTCTACTTTGAACTTCCTTCTGTCCTACAAGGATATGGTCAGGTGTTTTTTGGTTTTCAGGATTTTATTTTAAAGGACAACAAAAGAAGGTTAAAAAGTACATATAAGAGGTATTCCTACTTACAAAGTTGCTTACCAATTTAAAGAAAAAAAAAAAATCAACTTTTACCCAAACAGGAGATAAGCAATTATAATGAATTTATGAAGTGTTTTGAATAGTCATCCCAGACAGTAAACCTGACTTACTCTGAATCATATGATTACCTCCTTCATGCCTAATAATCCATATTTCATCAAATGAAATGCAAAACAAGCTAACTCCAGGTAGTTCTGTAAATCTGACTTAGACAGAAAAGTGTTATCAATAACTACAGGTCATCTTAACTTGAGAAAATCTATTAGGTTTTCAACATATCAAAGCATTTGCACTGCAGTTCTATCCTACTGTCTGGTTTTAATTATGAGGTTCTTCTCTGCAGGAAACAATTCTAAGAGAATTGAAACAATTTATTTTAAAGGCTTTAAATGTCAGAGGAATTCTGCCTCATACATTCTAAAATGCAGAATATCTTAGCACCTCACTGCTTGTAACAGACGTACACAACCTGTTTCTAGGCAAAAAGATGTGTTGGAAAACATAGCCTTTCACAAGAACTTTTCAAAGTATTTGCTCCCTATTAGCAACTGCAGAATTTTAAGTAAAAAAGAAAAATAATCTTTCATTGATCAAGTGTGATTTGATTGTGAAAAGGTATAGTTTTCTAATATCCATTTAAAAGATACATTTATAATTTCCACTACTGTAAATACTGAGAAATAAATGGTGTTGTAAGTAGAGATAAAAAGAACTATGTTTTGTTGTTTGTTTTGTTTGTTTGTTTGTTTTGGGATTTTTTGTTTTTACCCCAATACATAGAAAAAGAACTTGTGTGGAAATGTTAAGCTATGGAGAATTTTTTTTTAAAAAAAGCAGACATTTTCAGAGTTAATCCTTTGTGAAAAGCCATAGTGACTCACTATTAGAAATATTAACTTGTTCTGAAAGTACATTTCTTCTGGGTTGTGCTATGCACACCAATTTTAAAAAGAAACTTCTGTTTTCATAAAGCTCTATCAGAATATTTCAGGGAACAAGAACGTTTATGATAATTTGGATTATTCAGTGTCTTTATTATAGTCTCTACCATGATCTTCAGTACTGATCCTCTGCAAGATTTTGATTTTATCATCCCAGATTCAAAACAAATTGAAATGGTTTAATGAAAATATTCTGGTTTACAAGGAGTCAGTAAGAGTTACTAAGATGAAAACTGCACCAACAAAATACGGTGGTTTAGCTAATCTAGGTACAGAACCTGTATCCCAGAATAGAGAACTTAATAGAAATATTTTTTTTTTTTTAACTTTATATTTTATTTAACACAGCCAATAGCTCAAGTCATAATGTCGGTGTTCAAACTTAAGTTTCACACACAACTCCACTCCTTCCTAAGTAATGTCATGCAAGTGCTCTCCTTTCTTACCGATGACAGGAGAGATTGGGAACATACCTGAATGGTAAGCATTTAGCTAGAAGGAGGGGACGGGACCTGTGGTCAGGTTTTGGAAAGCAGACTTCTGTTCCTAATTAAATGCCTAACAGGCTACAGAGTCAAGGTCACAGTTTCCTTTGCTTTCTGTAACTCCTAATTGTGGATACACAGCAGTTAGAGGCTGATGCAGGGTCTC